CACGGATTTCACCATGAATCAGAAGAGCGAGGTGAGCCTTCCGTTTAGGACTTGTATGGATTTCTTCAAGCTAGGCGTAGAAAGCTCAGAGAATGCCCGACACTTGTCGGGGTTGGCTTCAATTTCCCGTTCTATCAGATAAAAACCAAGGAATTTGCCCGTCTTAACCTCGAAGGTGCATTTCTCAGGGTTGAATCTCATTATGCATTATCTCGCTTGGGGAAAGACCTTTTTGAGGTGGGAAACATGGTCGGTATCTGTTCGAGACTTAACGATCATGTCATCCATGTATACCTCGAGCATATCATCGATCTCTTCGCAGAAGAATCTATTCAACATCCGCTGGTACGTCGCCATGCGTTTTTCAGGCCAAAGGGAATTACATTGTAGTAGTAATTGCCCGAGTTGATCATGAAAGCAGTACAATGCTTGTTGCTCATCACCATTGGGATTTGGTTATAGCCCGAGTAGGAGTCCACAAATGATAAAATTTTATATACGGCCAAATTGTCGACCAACATGTCAATATTAGGTAAAGAAAAATCGTCTTTGGGACATGCCCGATCAATATAGTCAACACACATTCTCCATTTTCCATTATTTTTCTTAACAAGTACAACATTTGAGAGCCAGATTGAATACTGGGTCTCACAAATAAAATTAGCCTCTAGGAAGTCTTTTACAACATTTTCAGCAACCTCCACTTTCTCGGGAGACTGCCTACATCTATATTATACTACTGCCCTAGCGGTTGGATCAATGGATAATTGATGACATGCGACCTCAGGGTTGAGTCTGGGCATCTCCGCGGCGCTCCATGCGAACAAGTCTGTGTTCTCCCTCAAGCAAGCTTTGATCTGCTTCCTCTCCAAGTCAGGGAGTCCGGTGTTGATCTACACGCCTTTGTGAGGGTCTTCATCGAGGGGGAGAAACTCGAAGTCTCCGTCTAGGATTGGTCGAAGGAGTTCCTATTTGTTGTTAGGGGCTTCATCCTTACCGAAGCGGGTATCGATGAAGATGTAGTCGATCTTGGGTGGAGCCCTTTGTTCTTCTGACTTGACAGGTTGTGGTTCAGGTTAGGCAGTAGCAGCTCTCTTGGCAAGTCGCACCCCAGTGTCGACTGTACCCTGTCCCTTAGAGGTCGCGTTGAAACATCTTTGGGAAGCTGAGATGTCACCGTGGATGGTGGCGACATGTCCCCTTCTTGTGTAGAATTTCACCTTCATATGGACAATGGAGGGTACATCGGTTAACTCGTCCAGTGTTGGTCTCCCTAGGATGCAGTTGTAGAGATATGGGCAGTCGATGACCAGAAATCGCATCTTGATCTGCTGGGATACAGTTTCTTTCCCGAAGGTGACGAAGAGTTCAACTTACCCCATGGTTTGGAGGTCGAGCCATTGAATCCTTGCAGGTCGGACCCCATGTATGGAGAAAGGCGGGTGTCGTCAAGCTGTAAGGTTCAGAACAGATGGTTGTACATAACATCGACATAACTCCCCTCATCGACCAAGACGCGGTGAACATAGAAATTAGCCATTCTTGCCCTCACCAGCAGGGGGATGCTCGAGTTAGGGGGCCCTCCAGGCAACTCTTCGAGGTAGAATGTGATTGGTTCTAATCTGCCCTTGATCTTCTCGAATGTCACCGCTTGAGTCGGGGCTGCTTCGACCAACTCGTTGAGCTTTCTTTTTGTGGAGGTTATAGAGATGTTGTTGAACCTCCCTCCAGTTATAACCATGGAGGAGGGGAATTTCTCCCACCTACTATGCGTGGACAAATGTTCTTCCTCATATCTGTTGGGGACGTAGAAGTCCTCCGACCTTGTAACAGAGAAAACTATCTGGATATGGGTTGTTTCATCCGATGGTTGGGTGTCCTCCTCGACCTCTTTTGTCTCGCGGGAATATCGACAAGGGGCGTCATTGCATCAATATTGCCCGAGTCTGCCACCCTTGATAAGGGTTCCAATGGCGTCTTTGAGATGGACACAGTCTTCAATCAGGTGCCCGTGACTTCGATGGTACTGACAATATTTGCTCCTGTCAGCCTCGGGCTTCGTATGAGCAGAGCAAGGACGTTTGATGCCGCCGTCCTTGAAGTCGGTATTAACACACGCCGCCAAGATGCACTCGTGAGAAGCTGTCAGCGGAGTGTATTCGGTGAATCGCCATGCGTGTCCCCTGTGCTTGCGGGGATCTCGCGGTTTATCATCCCTTATCTTCTTGCCCATTCATCGAGGAGGGTCTGCGTCCTGGTTTCGCAGGGTGTTGGTCGATCAGCAATTCCTTGGGTCGCGGGCTTTGTTGGCCGCTTTCCTCTCCTTGTAGTCCATATAGGCCCTAGCCTTTTCGAGGAGAGCATCGAAAGTCTGGGGTGGTTCGATGTAGACGACCTTGCTGAACTTTGTGCCCATGAGGAGTTCTCTCTCGAGAAAATATCTCTTCATGTGATCTATGCACGAGACCTGAATGGCCTCGCGGTTGAACCGATCGATGTACTCCATGAGGGTCTCGTCGCTTCTTTGGATAATAGCCTCAAGGGAGGCCTCAGTCTTCGGGTGTCGATGAGACGCTGTAAAGGAGTTGATGAACTGACTCTTTAAGTTTCTCCAAGAGGTAATCGACCCTGGGGGGAGATTTTTGTACCAGTCTATTGCAGTTTTCCTTAAGGTCGTGGGGAACAACTGACATTTGATCGGTCCCCCGACATTGTGATAATGGAGCATTGCCTCGAACCCGTCGATATGGTCGACAGGGTCAGCAATGTCGTCATATTCCTTCAGCTGGGGAGGCTTCTCCATTCCCCTGGGAATGGGTGCCTCCATGATTGCTTGTGATAAGGGACCGTGGGGGTCGTCTTCGTCGCTCCTGTAGGGGTAGTGGGAAGGAGACCGGTTGTAGTGGCGTTCGTAGTGATGTCCTTGGCCTCGGGGAGGATCCTTTGGTCGAGGATACGCTTCTACGTTGCCCCTATTTCTGTTTTCAGGGGATCGTTGTTCCCTGCGTGTGTGTGTGTGTGGGGGGGGGGGGGGGGGTGAGGCTGCGTCTCCCGGTAGCCTCGGGCATTGTGCTCTCCAACACAGGGCGTCACCCAGTCCGTCGGGGAGAGAAGCTTCACGACCTGTCCCGTCTGTGTCTCTGTGGGGGAGATATAAGACGGTCTCCGTTTTGACGAGGAGGTCAAGTGTCAAGTCTTCTGTGTCTTCTAGGGGCTCGATAAGAGTCCTCGAGCACCCTTAGTCGCTCACCTTACGAGAAGATTAAGTAATTCGTCTGCTTAATTTCCGCGAACAGAGCCCTGGTTGTGGCATCAGCGACCGCGGGGACTAGGACCTCCTGAAAAATGTTCGGCTCATAGTTTTGGGGCGGATGGGTGCCCTCGTATGGTTGAGAGTGTGATGATGAAGAGGTGGTCAGGCCCTCTTTGTAATTCTGTACGAGATCGGTCATGTCGACGTCGTTCCCGTTGTTGTTGTTGCCCATGTTGTCGACGACATTGTTGTTGGGGTCGGCGAGATGGGCGTTTAGGTTGCTGTTGACAGCTGGGTTATCCATGACAATCAAAAGAGTTTGAAGAATTACTTTAGTCTTGGGTTATGAAAGACGGGGAAGCTTATTTCCCACATACGGCTCCACTGATCGTACCTGACAAGAGTGGATCGTCAAAGCCTACGAGCTGTGAATTAAGCAGCAACTGGAAGCGAGTTGGGAGGGGAGAGTACCTGCAAGATACTCTGATGCCAAAGTAAGGTTCATAGCAGTGTGAGCAAGTATGAGAGTGAGTATGAAATAATGGATACCCGACCCTCTCAAGAGAGAGGGTATTTATAGCCTCCAGCGCTGGGCCAAGGTCTCCATCATTGGGCTGGGCAAACAGGCCCGAAATAGAGAATGTCAGGTTCTACGTGTGTAGTGGGACCAGCACGTGGTTCCTAACCTGGATGGACTCCCCCGAATAGTCAGGAGGATATGGATGCAGTCTTTTTGGGACCAAGAGGACTCTGATATTCAGGGGTGTGGTGAGTCAACCCTTCCAGGAGGAGGATCGCGGTGTCCTTATGTCATCGTGGGCCCTCCCCGCCAGCTGTGAGGTCGTCCAGGAGGGCTTGTCTTGGTCAAAAAGAATAGTGGAAGATGCTCGCGAGGTCCTCCTGACTATCGACGAGCCTCCTCGCGATTCCTGGACTTATCCCCGCACGGCGAAGCCGCGTTTTTCTGAAGGGTGAGGTTGTTACCCGACATAGTTGAGGGCAGACTCGGTCAACAAGCCCCCTCGAACAACATAATTAGATTGGAACTCATATAAAGTTGGACCAAGTGCAGATCCAATTCAGAACAAAAACAATAACCCTAACTGTGTATTTGAATGAAACATTTTCACGGAAGAATATAATATTTTGAAGAAATATAAAATGATTTGGACAAAAATTTTTGTTTGGATAAAAATATGAAAAATTATAAAATATTTAGCCAAAATTATATTTAATAATTTTTAAATGACAAGAACTTCACATTCCTCTATTACTCCATAGAAATTAAATGTCAAATTGATTATAATTATTTTAAAATTTACAATTTGGTTTTCATATTTTCCAAAATTTTAAAATTGACCTCCAAAATTATAAATTTATTCTTAATAATTTTCAAAATTTATAAATTAATCTCTTTAAATTTTATAAATTGCAAATTGGTTTTTATTTTTAAAATTTAACAAAAAACTTTAAAAATTATAAATATAACCTAAAAAATTTAATAATAAATTATCTCTCTATTCCATACAATTATAATAATTTTAAAATAGAGTTTAAAGGTAATGCAGAGAGAGAGAGAGAGATCAAAATCCAGATACTTTCTAACCAAACTGGACAAGATCGGTTCAATCAAGCGACCCAACCCGGTTCTAAGCATCGGGTAAAACCACAAAACTGAACCGCAGCCGCATTGCGCCCTATACATCAAAACACAGAGTTGAAGCAAAGAAAGAGTGAGAAAATTGACATGGCAGATAGCAGCAAAGATCTTCTTCAATTCGAACACAAGAAATCGTCTCTTTCTCCTTTAGGTATTTCTCCAATCCCTTCTTTCTTTTTTGTTCAACTCTGTAATGATTTGATGAAGTTTCTTTTATCTTTTGCAGAAACCGCTCTTCTTGTTTGTGATAGCAATAATAATAACAAAAAAGAATCAAACACGAGATTACCCACTCATCCAACGCCCATCACCGCTCCACTTCCTCCCAGCCAACGTACTCTACTGTTTACGTTCTTCGATATTGATTGTGTTCGTCGTGGTGTGAATTAACCACAATTTCATACTGATTGTGGTTGCCGCAGTGTGAATTAACCCTAATTTCTTTTGTTTATTGTTGCAGTTTTAGGAAAGGTTAAAGACTTCCTAGGAGTGATGTCAGAAGCAAATAAAAAACTGGAAAATGATGCTAAGGTTAGACCTTGATTTTCTAATCACTCTTGTCAAATTGCGGCTTTAGTGTAACTATAGCTCATTCTATTGTTTCGCAATATACTATTTAGTTTCAAGTATTGTAGAATTTGAACCGATCCTTGTTGTTCCGTTGTTGTTCCACAATATTCTATTTAGTATGAAGTATAGCTGAATTTGAACTGATCGGTATTCTTCCGCAATATACTATTATGAAGTGTTGTCAAGAAGCGGCTATACAGGCACTATAGCATTTTAGCATAGCAGATTTGAACGAATGCTATTTTCCGCGATATGTTATTGATATACTTTTTACTGATTTCTAACCTTTTTTGTTTTCGTACGCTTCCCTCTATTTTCTTACTTATCGAATTCCAAATAAAATGTAGGACAATCCGGAGAAATATGATATTGAAGAACTAGTTGGAAATGAATCTGAAGTTATTGAAATGGTCAGTTAACGTTTTATCTCCCTTTGTATATCAATAGCCCTTCTATATGTGTTTCTGTAGTCATATAAAGTAGACTATTGATTTTTTTTTTTGTTTCGATTTTATGGTAGGATTTGATGCTTGGTGTTGCCGATCTTCATACACCTGAAGCTGTGGCTGCTGCAGAGTCAGCTATTTCGAGTCGTCAGCGGGTGATTTCTTTGCCTGGTGATGGCAGCGAAATAGATTCAGACGAAGAAAGTAGTGACGATGATGATGTTGGTAAAATTGATAGAAATGTTGATGGCTTTGATTGTGGAAACGATGGTAAAAAGTCTTCTTCATCCCTTGATCAAAAACCGGTTTCTGTTAAAGATGATATTCCTGAAAAACAGAATGGAAATTGTCGTCGGTCCAAAAAACGTCCAGCTATTGTTGAGCTACCATGATGGTTGTAAGAGTTAGATGCATTTATTGAATGAAATCATTTTGACAGTCAATATACTGAGATGCATTTTTTAGCTATGTGGTGGATATAACTATCAAAGACTACATAAATTAGATAATACATTGTGAATTTTTAGTTCTACTGATGCATTTTTTATGTCTATGTTGGAAGCACTTGGTGAAGTAACAAGCCTCACTGCCGAGCTGTGGTAGAGTTCATTATGGACCCATCTGCTTGTAAATTACTCATTTTTGTTAATTTTGTATTAATGTTATGGATATGCTTCCTCGCAAGGAGCATGATGCCCTTTCCCTCTAGTTTCACTTAATTCTGCTTCTTCTTTCAACATTCTGAGAAATGATTGTATTGGATTGGACTGCTTTTTCATCAACTAGTGTTAGAAAAGCGACTCTCTTTTTTTTTTTTGTAAAAAAAGTGCCAGTTTTCATAAATAAATAAATAAAATACTGGTCTTTGAAAACTTGTTGTGCAAGGAAGGGTGTACACTTTTATCTTTAATTATTTGTGACTAATTGTAAGACAATTTTTTGTTTCAAACACGACACATAAATAACTTATAATTTGTTTTAACGATGCTTTTGATCTTGTTATGTTTTTATTTATTTACGAATTGATCCTGCTATGCTTAGTCTTAAGAGTAAAAGAGAATATTATTGAAAATTTTGATTGTAGACTAAAACTATCTTTGAATGGATGGAACTGAACTACACGGAATGAAACGTAACAAAATAGAGCAAAGAAGAATGAAGTAAATTTATGTTTTATTCTATTACATATACTTTGTTAGAATTTTTGCCGTAATTGTAGTTTGCATTTTGCCGTCTTAATTGCGGCATTCGAGTTTGAAGAGGTAGATTTGATTTTACCTTCCTTAGTGATATGGTATGTGTAATGTTTATAATATGGTATCATAGTTTATCATCAAATTTTAGACTGGTTTACAATTTAAAAATCTACGCACCAAATTTAAAAAGAGTATTGGATGTGAGGGTGCATTGAAAAGATTTCAAACTCTATTACATTTCAAATAATTGGATGAATTCATTTAATATTCTATTCTATTTGTCTCATAATAACTGTCTCATTTAAGTTTTGTACGGTTCTTAAAAAAATAATTAGATGAATTAATTTTAATGATAAAATTAGTGTTATTTACTAAAACAACCTTATTTATTATAATTACTGGAATAGTTGAAAAGAGTGAAAGCTAATAAATAAGAATATAGTAATGAAAAAAAAAAATTATATTAGTATTTTAGAGACATTTATTTAAAAACATAAAAAAATACAAATGAGATAATGAAACGGAAGGAGTAACATAATGGATCCAATTCATTAATACCACTCACTATGTACACTTAATACATAACTAATCTCTCCTATTGTTTTAGAAATGGTATAATGACACTTCTATAAGCTCAATTATAAACTACTCTACTAAAATCTCAATATAGCTCAATAAGTACCAAACAAAAAATGGTCAAATATAAAAATTTATCTTACAACAAAATTAAATTTTATTCCATTAAGTAGAGTCAGTTATATAGATTAACCTCCAACATTGTTAAGCTAAACTCTATTCATGTCTATTTTTATCCAAATGTTAATCTAAAAATCTTTCATAAATAATTTTTTTAGATTTTCCTCTGACTTCTCTTTATTTGATTTATCTCTTTATTTGATTTACTCTAATATTGTCATTTATTATATATAATCTTATCACACATTCAACACAACATCCTCGTTTCTACTACATGTTATGTTGATTCATAACCACCCTACACTCTTTTTCGCACATCATCACAAATTTTAACACAACTCAATAAAAGTTTTCTTTTAACTTAACAATATCTTTACCTTCATTTCACATAAAATCCCTAAAGTCCCATGCTATTTTCATCACCCGACTTAAATTTGATAGTTTACCTCTCTTTTCTTTCCTATCGTTTTGTATTACCTATCTAACATAATTCATGTTGGAAAAAAAGTGTTATAACAAAAAGGTTAACTAAAAAATTCTATTAAAAAGAGTGGTTCAATTAAACTATAGGGAGTGTTGAAAAAATTTAGTCTTGAAAAAAAAAAAAAGTATGTTGAAAAGATGTAGGAAAAAAAATCAGATTGATCCTGTAACAGCCAATAATAACAATTTATTTGTTATTGGTTAATATCGCGCACTCGACTTGTTAAAATGATTTGTTAATTTTAAAGAAACTTTCCCCAAGAATTATGAGTTTTAAAAAGTGAATAACTAATGTATTAGACAAACTGAATTTGCCTTATTAATTGCATTACTCAGCTAAATAACAGTCATCTTCAAATTTTGTTCAGCCTTATTCCACCGCAATAGAGGAGCAAAAAAAATGCTATACAAAAGTAAGAATCATGTAAATTCTCGCATATGAACTCATGAACTAAAAACATGCATTAGACCTATTCATACCACAATCAATTAACAAATAAGGTTTAAAATAACCATTATTGCATAAGTATGCAGAGCAATACTTGCTGCGAAATCGGTTGCCCGTGAGTAAATAAAAGGGCAGACAAAATGCTAGCATACCTGCTTCACTTAGTTTTGATAAGTGAATGTGGTTTTAAAACTAATCCATAAATAAAAGAAAATGAGTATGTAACCAAATGGAAATGTCTAGTTCATAAAATCTTCTAATCAACACATCTCATTAGAAGTGCAATAGTTGATCAACATGTGAATTTTGCATGGATGAGTTTGTCAAAGTTTGTCCTTTCCTCATTCTGCTCTCGCATTCATTCATGTTGTCTGCAAACCTAGATAATCAATTCATAAGTAATTTAAATGTAAACAACAAAGGCAACTATTGGGCAGACACATACCTAAATGTCTTGAAAGCGGGACTGACGTCTCCGTGATCTGCGAATAAAATATTTTAAAAAATGAATCAAACATATCATCTCAAAATCACTCAATCTTCCTCTTCAAATGCCCTTGGCATCTATGTCTTTCTCAATCCTATTCTACTAATGCACGTTTTACGTTTTTCCCCCCATAATCACCATCAAATGTGAAGTAAACATTGAGATATTAATATACAATAATAACTACCAAATAAATATCTAAACTCTCGTAGAAACGTTGAAAATCAGCTTAGGATCTTTATTAGGGAAAGCTTCTGAAAAATTCAGCTTTACTTCCAAAACTTTTTATCATGTTATGAATAGATAAACAATGAAAATGTTCTGCATAAGAATTCTTAAACTTAAATTGCCAGACCTTAACACCTCAAAAAGTAAAGTCGTGACATGTAAAAGTACATAATATTAGAATACAGGAAAAGTGAATATGCACCTGCGATAATTACTGCTACGCCTAGAGGAGCCACTCGTGTCCACAACCTCAAACTGAATCTCGTCTACGATAACATCACCGTAATCCCCGGATGCTATAGAACCTTCATCAGAATTTGATGTGTCATAACTTAAACGACGATTAGCCCTTTGTGCTTCACTGTTTCTTGTTCTTCTTCTATTTCTAGAACTTCTGAAGTTGTCGAAGACCTGATATAAAATACAAGAGGTCCACCAGTTTCCGTCATCTCCAGGGAAGTCATCGTACTCGTCTCTCCCATCATCATCTCCGTATTCAATCACATAATCTCCCAAAACCATCCCCCGTGGGGTTTCCGAATGGATAGTGCTCAAAACATCAATGATCTCCGAGGACTGCTGAAAGTTCTCCCAATCGAGCACTCGAGCGGGGTCGATTTTCGATGGACACGCGTGAGGGTGTTCAAGTTGAGCATGCTTTTGTATCTCCAAGTAACTTCCCATGAATTTACATTTCACCTCATCGCAGCAACGCTTCTTCTCATCAAGATGCATCCGAGCTTTATCGACGACAATCCACCCAGACACCTGACCTCTACACAAAGGGCAAGTTAGATTGCATTGACCATCCGGTACCACAGGCTCGCTATTTTCAACCAAACTCGCATCAGACACTGAAGACGATGGCACGCCACATGCAGTTTTAAAACGATCCAAACAATTTGAATGCAACTGATTTGTGTCACATACTAAAGCACGACACCCTTTATCATACGATGAACACTGAAGGAGCACACTATTATGAGGAATATCTAAGCATATCGGACAAACAACATCGTCCCAGTCAATATTCAATTGAATATCCTCCATGTCGTTTACATTAGCCGGAATATTACTATTACGAGACATGAAACCGTTAAGAGGTCCCTTATAGTAAAACTCGTAGTTGTACTAAGTCAATAGCATGATCCTTTATTATTCAAATATCAGAATGTCAACGAAAACTTGGAAATGTACGAATCAAACTCTGTATTGTGTTTTGGAACAAACCTAAAAGAATGAGAAATAAAAAGATAAATTAGTACTTGAGAATTCAAATAACTTCAGAACATTTAAGCACACCAGACAATTTCGTCCATGTTTCTTCAAGTATTTTCATCAAAACTCATAATTTCAAAACCCAAAATCTCAATTTACTTCCCATGTAATGAAAAACCTTAACATCAAAGGTTTCTTAACCTTATATTTCAAACACCTGCCAATCAAAATTATCGATGCAATGGCTGCAATGCGCATCGCAACACCCGCATCCGCGGCCGCAATTTAAAACCATGATCGCATGTTCATACTAAAACACATAGTTTAGAGACAGCAATATAAGTAGTCTGTCTCATAAGTACAATTCATATGGTATTGGATATGCTAAGGCACGAATTTGAACCCACAATTCCCCACTTTTTAACTATGAAGCCTGGACACAAACACCGACACCAGACACGACCGGAAATAATTCCAAATAAAAAAGAATAAATTAAACTAATCACAAGTGTCAGTGCAGTGTCGGTCTCCAACACTGACACAGACACACCTTTTTCAGAGGTGTCGATCCTACATAACATTTCAGACTCCGGACTAGGAGAAAGTCAAATTAAACAATCCATCAATAAAAAAATGAATTTATAACACAAAGAACAACATAGCAAACGTTAACAATCCTTCCTCCAACATCCAATTTTACTCTTAAGAAAAAAAAAATAAAAGAACCTAAATTTGAGTATTGCATAAAAATGATCAAGTTGACCAATCCAAAATAAAGATTATTATTCTCCACACACACACAAAATCAAATAAGGAGAGTGAAATCGAAATTGAAAACCAAAAACATCTACCCTAGGTACGAATTGAACATAACCAAGAAAAAAAAACCGAACATAAAAGATTAAAAAAAAAAACATTGAAAAACAGTTACAAGTGAAAGCAAAGATCACAAGATTTGATGAGCAAAGAGAAAAACATAAACCTCGTACCGATGAATTGTAGTTAGAAGCGATTTGGGTGGAAATGGATTATGCCGGTTTGTGAGGATCAGTGAAAGTGGGTGGTTCTCTCTTTTCTTCTTTCCTTTTGCACAGTGCAATTGCTCTATTATTATTATTATTACATTTTATTTTTAAATTGAAATTAAAAAAAAAGGTTATGAAGACATTAATACCCTTTTGTTTTGTATGACTTTCTCTGAATAAAAGTTATATTCAATCTATATACGTTACTCTTTCGTAGTCACAGGATAGTTGTGGTCAATTCCGTGATACGCATTTTCACTTTTTTAGTAAATTCAAATTAAACTTGTGCGATAAATAATAAATTAAAAAAAAAAATGAGAAAAATGAGAAATCCGCTTTGGGTTTATGAATTGTGTACATATATAATTCATAAATTGACAATATAATTAAAAACATCAAATTTGTCTTCACAAGACAAAAATTAAAAGCCAAACTACTTATCAGATTCTTTAAAATAAGAGGAATAAAGTGTTATCTTTATATTTAAAATATAGTTTCATTTTAAAATATTATTATATTTTGATAAAGGTATATTACTCTCTTTAATATTTAATATAAAAATGTATATTTTTAAATTTATTAAAGAATTATTGTATTTAGACTATTTGCAGTCTAGATATGTTAATTCTTTAATAAATTTAAAAAATATTTTTTTTATATTAAAGATAAAAAAAATTATATAATTAATATTTTTTACAAGTATATTTATTATTTTAAAATTTTTGATTATTTTGTTTAAAACAATTAATATATAATTATTTTTTTCTGAATCTTGAAGCCTAGAAAATATACTACTTTATAGAGGAATCTCTATAGGACAAAAATCATGTATTTTTAATCATATGTTACTTCTAACTCTCATGGTAGTTAACATTTCTGCACACCAAATTCGAATCTCTACTAATTGAGTTATATATATATTCTTCAATCTTCTTTAGTTCTTAGTGAATATGACAAAATATAATCAATTATGTTTGTTTTTCTTGCTTCACTTTCAAAATTTTATTTTGAGCTTGAGTCGAATCTGTTTGGATGATCAAAATTCTACCACTAATGTTAATAGCTTTAAACATTTTAATCCCTTCAAGAATGTTTCGTAACTCAACAATCAATATCAAATCTCGACCTATCGACTTCGAGAACCCTCTGATCTAATTCCCATTGTTGTCTCAAAGAACTCCCCCACAACTAGCTTGTTGCATGTTCTTCAACGCCCTATCTGATTAATGTGACACCCTCTGATTCATAATTCTTTATTCTGTAATGCATGTTGTATTATAAACAAAAAAGGAGAGAAAAAATGTATTAGGGTTTAGAGTGTTACATTATTGTTCGATAAACTTCAAGAACATGAGATAGGTCTTGAAAGGCTAGAAAAGAATGAAGGCCAATTAAAAAAAATGCAAAAGTCTTACCTTAAAAACTAGAGTCAAAGACCATGATAGTAATTAAGAAGATGAATCTAAATTGGCTAGTGATGAAGATGATGTCCTAATCACGAAAAAATGAAGGTTACTTGTTTTGAGTGTGGAAAAAGAGGACGTGTCAAAAGTGAATACCCTAAACTTTAAAAGAAGAATAAAGTAAAAAAGAAGAAGGACAAACGATCAAATAAAGCATATGTGGCATGAGATGATAATGACACAAGTTCATTTTGAGATGAAGAGCAAGTAAACTCGATATTAATGGCTTCATACCATTATGATGATGAAGAAAATGAGGTTAGTGATTCCCCAATTAATGATATACCTTCATACGATGAATTACAAAATTTCTTCCATGAATTACATGAGGAATGTTTGATGCTTTTTAGAAAATGTTCAAAGAAAAAGAAAATAATTTTAACTCTAGAAAGTAAGTCTAATGACATGAAAGTGAAATTAGACCAAGTAAAAAATTCAGCATGTAATAAATGTCAAGAACATTAATCCAAAGTTGTTGAACTAAACCAAGTTATAAAGAAATATAAAAAAGGTCAAATTGGCTTAGAAGATGTGCTAAGTAGACAAAGATATTCAAATGAAAAATATGGGCTTGACTTTTCTAATTTTGATAAATCAAACACAAGTAAAATCATTTTTGTTAAAGCTAAAACAAAATTCAATTATGTGGGACCAAAGAATGTACTTATTGTAATCTCCACTAAGAGGTCTTATGCTAGAAATCATTCTTATGTATATAAAAGGAATTATGTCTTTAGACCTACATGCTTTTATTATAATTCGAAAGGTCATACTTCTAATGCTTGCTACACAAGAAATTATGGTATTTCTTATGGCGAGTATGTATGAGTAAAGGAGGGAACTAACCCAAGAGGATCCAAAGAATATTGAATACCTAGAAAATACTATTAATTTTTTTTTGTAGGTACTTGAAGATCATATGTTAATATTGTCAAATTAAGATTCATTTTTCAAGATATAAGACTTTATGATATGGTAGGATTAATCTTTTATTTGATTAAAGATGATTTGAAGAACATAAACATTGACATCAAATAATTGTGAAGAAGATAAGTATTTTTATAGTTAATGTATCATTTCTCTTATATATTATGTTTCTTTGGATTTTACTATTTTTCTTTTTTAATAATGTCAAAAAGAGGAATAAGAGAGATAATTGGTTTTGTTGTTTTTCAAGATACCAAATACAAAGACATAAGTTTAAAAATAAATGAGAAGATATGCAATATATGGGAAGATATACAATATAGGGGGAGAAATCAAGTGTCAAGCAAAAATTGCCATCAATATATTTTGTTTTGATGAAGATAAAAGCTTATCAATAAAGAGAGATCAAAGAACAAAAATATTATAATTAAGTATCAAGATTTCATAAGCTTCGAAAATCAAAGGATTGAATCATAAATATTAAAGTACAATGGAAACTCTTATATATATAAGCTTTAGGTGCTCAAATTTTTTTCATCTAAATCATTCTATATTTCTTAAATATTCATGCATGGTTTTCATTCAAAGCGCATCTTTTAAATGACAAAAAGTATTTTTTTTCAAAGGAAACAATCAATTGACGTTATGCAATAATTGATTGTTGTTTTCCTCTGTAATGCGAATATTTGAAAAATTGGAAGCATCAATTAATTAATGCTAAGAGAGAATCAATTAAGGGGTCTAAATTTTATCCCTGCAATAGATTGACGCATCACCATAATCGATTATTCCAATGTTAATTGTCATATTTTTTAAATGTTGGACATGAAACAATCGATGGACCTCTTAGCACAATCAATTTCTTCACGAATATTTTTGAAAAACTGAAACAATGTAATACCTCTTCATCTCACATGTTCGTGAAACCTTTTCCAAATTATTGCAATTAATCATGAACATTTTTTAAACATTGCTACTAATTCAATAGGTGTTAAGGATAAGCACATATTATTCACATTAAAGAAGGTCAAAGCAAATATCAAGACATTCAAGAAGGTCAAACCCAAGCAAACATGTATTTAAAATCAGTGGCGGAGCCAGAAAAATTATGAAGCATGGGCAAGTTTTCATTGGCTTCATAATTTTCTACCAAGACAGTACAATGCTAATCCCAAAGGAATTATTTCCTTGAATTGCAATTACCTCTTCAATTTGTAAGATTTCGGATTTTATAATATATACATGTTAAATTTTCGGATTCTATAATATATACATGTTACAGTATTTCAGGTGTGCTCACAAAATGAACAAACCTATAAAAGCCGAGAAAATTAGTTCAACACGCTCATTTGTGTGAAATTAAGTACTGCCTAAAAACACCGCTATCAATTCAAATTTCAAATAATGTTGTCAAATGCAGATCGGCGAAGTGGTGGTTTATTAAAATTCCGGTATG